AAAAAAAAAAGTTTAAAAAAAAATCAGACTTTAGGGGACAGAAGACAATAAATAGACCTATGTGGTTACAACATTTAGCTAACCTTAGTAAGGCTAAATGAAAATATGTGACTTTTTTTTTTCTTTTTTTCGTGATCTGGTTTAAGAATTCAAATAATATCATACTTAGACCTACACTGGGCAGCTACACAGGGTCCTGATTGACTCTGTAGAACATAAATATTATTGGTTTCTCATCCTCAAACCTTGAGTTTGTTTTTAATCGGTACAGTCGCGAGGAATCTCCCTCTACTCTTTTCCCTTCCCTTCTGAACCCAGCTTTGAAAAGGGTCCGTGAGGCGCATGCTCCTCTGCCAGCCAGACGCGGGCAGCGCAGCCACCAGGCATTGCCACCTCGCCAGTCCTACGGCGGAGACGCCCACAGCCCGGATTTGACCCCTGCCACACCCGCTCAATCCCGCGCGAGGCGGCGGTCACGTGCTCAGTGACAGTCTCTTCTGCGGCCCCGCCCACCGCCGCGCACTCCCGCGAGCGCAGCCCCGCCCGCGCCAGCGCCCGGGAAATTCCGGCAGGCCAGGCCGCGCCTGCGCAGTCCGTCCGGTGGGCGGGGCCGGGGACGCCGAGCGCGGCGGCGTCGGGGTCTGTGAGCCGCGACTGTGCGGAAGATGCGCGGCGTCGCGGCAGGCCGGGCCCGGGGAGGCCGCCTCTTTTCCCTCCACCGCCGAAAGTAAACTTTCTTGGTTGGCCCTCGGCGCTCCCGACCCGCGCCGCGGGTCCTCGGCCGCGCAGAGCGGTCCTGCGTCAGGACCCGTCTCCCCCGGCGCGGGGCCTCGAAGCCATGGACGCGACAGCGCTGGAGCGGGACGCCGTGCAGTTCGCCCGGCTCGCTGTGCAGCGCGACCACGAAGGCCGCTACTCCGAGGCCGTGTTTTACTACAAGGTGGGGCCGACACCCGCTTCGGCGGGGTCCCCGAGTCGCTGTGAGTGCGGCGGGGCCCGAGCGAGGGGCGGGGCCCGCGACCAGGCCCGCGGCTCTGCCTTTCCCGCGCCCCCCGGCCCTGGCCGCCGGCGCGTGCCGCCGCGGGACCCCGGTCGCGGCCGCGGGCGGACGGAGAGCCCGCTCTTGGCTGAGGCTCGGCTGGCGGGGGTCCCCCGAGGAGCTGCTCATGGCGGCGGCAGAGTCGAGGAATTGTCTAATTCTTGCCATGCTCTGGCTCTGATTTATATCCAGCGGGAATTGGTCTGTGATATACGCCCACATGATGCACATTCGTAGGAAAAGAAAAAGTAAATTAAAAAGCATAAACCCATCTCTTATCCTAGCATTTGATGTATATTTTACAGTTGTATGTATATATGTGGGTGTTTACATTTTTATCACACACTATTAACTGTTTATACTATTTTGTAAGTTTGTTCTTTTCATTTGCGCATTTCCCCAAATCATTAAATTTAGTGTCACAATAACAGCTGCGCAGTGTTTCATTATGGGCATTTACTGTAATTTACAATCTATTAGGCATGAAATATCAATTCTGATTTTTCAGGCTCCTAAGTGACTATGTAGTTAATATCCGTGTAAGTAATGCTTGGCAGATTTTTTTTAAAAAAATGTATTTAGTACAAGGTCTCACTACACGGATTACGGGCGCCAAGTCACCGCCCCCAGTCTGTGCTGTCTCAGTGGGCCCCGGGAGCGGAGTCAGCGCGGCTTGTGGTGCAGGGGATCGAACCCGGTGCCTGCATTCTGCCTAAGCAGGCGCTTTAGTCTGCTGAACTATCAGGCCGACCCTGGCAGATTTTCTTGATAGTTCTTTTGAATGAATTACGTGGAACACAATTGCTAAATCAGACACTGAGCTTCCATAATCCATTCTTTGCTCTCCAATCCTAAAGGTTTTTGAGAAGGCCATTCCACCTCTAACCAAGTGCCGAGGTAACTGTATCCTCCAGATATTGGTACCTTTTCTTTGAGAAAGAATGCCACGTTTAAGTAATTAAAATTTTTCCATGAAACCAAGTACCATGAGTAGTGTGGTTTCTTCCAGACTAGTATTTTATTGGTTTCATATGAAATTTTTGGTGTATTTCAGCTTCATTACTTTTGTCATATTTTTAATTCATAATTATTTATTTTGAGATAGAGTTTTGCTGTATAGTTCAGGCTGAACTTGAACTCACTATGTAGTCCAGGCTGGCTCCAGACTTGCAGCAGTCCTCCTGCCTCAGCCTCCCAAGCGCTGGGATTTTAGGTGTATGCCATCATGCCGGGCTTATATTTTAGTTTTGTAAAGTAACTTCGACAAATATCAGTAGGTTAAAGTAGTACCATATAAAAACAACTTCTAAAGCAAAGAACACAATGTTTTTTCATTTCCTACAGGATTACATGAACTATAATTTAGGAAGACCACTTTGCCCTCAAGAAATTAGGGTATGGGAGCGTGACTCAGTGGTGAAGCTCTTGCCTTGCATGCTCAAGGCCAGGTTTGATCCCCAGTACCTCCCCCAAAAAAGCACTTCTACAAACTTTCCGTAAACTTTATCAGTTTGTTTAGTGTTGCTTGCCCTGATGCTGTTCCATTCCTTCATTGGTAGTCTCATTGGGCAGCGAACCCGGGGCCTTTGGGATGATCTGTATCTTCAGCACACTCCACCCCCTTACCTTGTCTTGCAGCTAGGGGTTGTCTTAGTTACTTTTCTCCTTGCTGAGACAAAATGCCTGTTACCCAAAGTTAAAAGAGGACAGATTTATTTCAGCTCACGTTTTGTAGAGGTTTCAGCCCCCCGTTGACTGGTTCAGAAGCAGTTGATGTGGCAGAAGGGGCATCATGGGTGACAGTCCATGGCCTCCCACGCAGGGCAGTGAGCAGCAGCATTGGCAAAGCAAACAAGCCTCCCTTTTCCTTCTGTTGAGGCCACCAGCCTCTTGGGTGATGCCACCCACGCTTGGGGTGGGGCTTCTGTTAACCACACCACAATGGTGATAAATCAGTGGACTAATCCAGTGCCATACTCTCTTAATCTCAGAATCGTACATTCTAGATCCAGCCAGCTCCAAAAAACCTCATATCCGACTACATGAAGCTTTGGGGGAACATCTAGATAAAGCCATAACGGGGGTCTTGCTGAGTCACTAAATTGTTTCCCAGAGTTCCAGGATTATAGGCATGTTCTACCATGCTCATCTAGACATTTTTGAAAATAAAATGAGTAAAATAAAATGGATATGAACAATTTTAAAGTTGGAATTTTTTAAAAGCAAAAATAATTATTTGAGGGTCCGGGGAGATGGCTCAGTAGAATAAGTGCTTCCCTGGCAAGCGCAAGGGTCTGAGTTCAATCCTCACTTCCGCCCAAAAAAAAAATAATAATTACTTGAAAATCAGTAATGTGCAAGACAATTGAAAGGGTAAGACAATTATACATAAGACAGTTGATCAGCTTGTAACTAGAATGTATTTAGATAATGATGGTACACAAGATACAATGTTTACTATTACTAGTTTTTCTGAGACAGTATTTTTTCATCATTTATTTATTTATTTGGTACAGGGTCTCAATACACAGCTCAGACTTGTAGTGATCTTCCTGTCTCAGCCTCCCCAGCGCTGGGATTACAGCACTACCATGCCAGGTTTCAGTGGCTGGCATGGTACTGGGGATCAAACCTTGTGATTGCCAGGCAGGCGCTTTGACCGCCAAGCTATCTCCCCAGCCTCGAGGTTTTTCTATATAGTTTAGGCTGGCTTTGAACTCAGTATGAAGTCCAAATTGGCCTGGAACTCAAGGTGATCCTCCTGGCCCAGCCTCCTGAGTGCTGGGATTATAGGTTTGTACCACCACCACCACGACCCAGCTAAAATACAATACCTAACGTTGTCATTTTCTCCCTTGGAATATCTGAGTTAGGTAATTTTAGAAACTCATGAGGAGTTTTCTATACCACAGCCTTTCAGTTGAATTTCCACTAAAGTCAAAACTATTTTTCTTACTGCTTTTGTTAGGTTCTCCTGCTGAAGTAACTGCATTCAGAAAAAATGCTCAGCAGGTGGCCCCTTGGGAGACTAACAGGCAGGAGGCCCCCTGCAGGGTAGCACTTGCTGGGCACACTGCAGAGGAGGTGCTGTCATGGGGGGAAATCGCTGTCCTTCCTAGGTGGCTGCACTGGTGACCTTCCTCCAGTGGTGCTGGGGAAGATGGGAACTCTTCTTCCCTGGTCAGAACATCGCTTGCGGTGTAAGTTACAGAGTACCTGGAAGAAGCAAGGTTTTCTGAAGGAAAATAAATTTATATCATACAATTTAAATCTGCTTTAATATATGTTATCCTTTGACAGTATTTTCTGTGTAGAAAAAATGCTTTATGAGATATTTAACTTTTATAAGTTACTACATTTTTTATAGTGCTAGGGATTGAACCTAGGGCCTTTACCCTGAGTTACCCCTCCAGCCCCTCTGCCTCCTCTATTTTTGGTACAGGAAATTGAACTTAGGATCTTGCACTTGGCTGGCAGGCTCTGTGTTGCTATCCCTGGCCCCTCTAGTCTTTGCGCGCGTGTGTGTGTGTGTGTGTGTGGTACCAGGGATTGAACTCCAGGCTTTGTACATGCTAGGCAAGCACTCTACCACTGAGCTCTCTCTCCAACCCCTGTAGCCCTTTTTATTTTGAGGTAAATTCTTGCTAAGCTGCCAAGGCTGGACTTGAACTAGAGATTCTCTTACCTCAGCCTCAGTGTTTTTAAATTTCATACAATCTTGATATTTCATTTTATTTTAGTGGTTATTATTTAATCCTTTTGTTTTGCTTTAGGAGGTGCTGAGGGTTGAACCCAAACCTTTGAACCTACTGGGGAAGTGCTCTATCAAAGCTACACCCTCCCAGCCCATTTTAATGCTTTTACAGTTCACTTTATCTTTTCAAAGTGTGTAATTTGAAATCTGATCAATAGATAAGTTAAAAAAAAGGTAAGTCAAACGGAAACGTGCATATTGCAGCTATTGTAAAGAAGTGTTTATAATCCATTCCTTATGTATACATATTTGAGTTCTTAAGTTGTCAACAGTATACAAAAATGGAGAATATTGACAACTGAAAGAAAGGTATTGGAAGGTTATGAAACTTAACTATCTTATAAAAATAATTTAAGGATGTTCTTTGGGAGGAACAGGGGAGTAAAAATGATCAAGATGTGACATTATTAATTCAGCAAGATGATTTCAGTTACTGTATTTTGCCATTCATGGAAACTTACAGTGAATTGGAAAGTGGTACTGAAAATTCAAATTGTAATGCCTGTATTTGATTCCTTCAAATTATTTTTATTTTTAGGAAGCAGCACAAGCCTTAATTTACGCTGAGATGGCAGGATCAAGCCTAGAACATATTCAAGAGAAAATAAATGAGTATCTGGAAAGAGTTCAAGCTCTGCATTCTGCAGGTTGGTAAGGCTCCAGAAGTTGTCACTGTGTTTTTTTCTCTCCCGTCACATCTTTTGTCTGTGTTACTCTCTTTATTTGTGGTTCTTGATCTTCATTTCTGGCTCATTCCTCTTTAAAAAATCATAATATGGAAATATGTCATAGATGTATCAGAGAACTCTTACAGATAACAGAGTCCAATTTCCTGATTTCCCAGAGCTATAGTTTATAACTGGCAAAAGTTAGGATGAGAACCTCGGTAGAGTCTGCTCTTTAGATATCTAACATGTGCCCTCTTGATATTAAAATTGACTAATCCTCTTCGGTGTTTAAAGACTTCAGCTATAGGTTCATGTCTTCTCTGTCAGTGTCCTCTGCTTTGAACTCTTTTTTTAAAAATACATTGGAAAAGCTACATGTAAGCAGAGGCGGAGAAAGGTTCTCTTCATTTCTGTAAACAGTGTGGCAGGTGCTGTGGTAGAGATATGCACAGGCCTGCTCAGTGTGGTGGCACACCGGTGATCTCAGCACTCTGGAAGGCTGAGCAGGGAGGAGAATCCCAAGTTTGAGCCCAGCCTAGTCATAGTCAGTTTGGTAACTTACTGAGACCTTGTCTCAAAGAAAGAAAAGAAAAAAGAGGCTGCGTGCGAAGCCGGCGTCCTCAGCCATCTGGCGCGCACGGAGGACTCCAGGGCGCACACAAAGCGCCGCCCGTGCCAGGGAGTGACCCGGCAGCCGGGCCGGGGACACCGGCGCCGCCCCCTCGGCTCCCTCTGAAGGCCCGCGGCCCCCGGGCTCGCGTGGAGCTGCCGGAGCCGCCTGGCCGCGCCGGAGGAGGGCAGGGAGAGGACCATGTGCCTGGGCTCCGGAGCGGGGCACCGCGCAGTTTTCTGAAGAGGCAGGATGCTGATCTAGATGTGGAAAAAGACCAGTCCTGCTGCTGTTTTAGAAGACATGTGGTGCATATAAAGTCTGTGGTAGTTGGCGGAAATTTAGAATTTAGATAATGGGCTGTGTGCAATGTAAGGACAAAGAAGCAACAAAACTGACGGAGGAGAGGGATGGCAGCCTGAACCAGAGCTCCGGGTACCGCTATGGCACAGACCCCACCCCACAGCACTATCCCAGCTTCTGTGTGACCTCCATCCCGAACTACAACAACTTCCACACAGCGGGAGGCCAGGGGCTCACCGTCTTTGGAGGGGTGAACTCCTCGTCTCACACTGGGACCTTGCATACGAGAGGAGGCACAGGAGTGACACTCTTTGTGGCTCTTTATGACTATGAAGCATGGACAGAAGATGACTTGAGCTTCCACAAAGGAGAAAAGTTTCAAATACTGAACAGCTCGGAAGGAGACTGGTGGGAAGCCCGCTCCTTGACAACTGGAGAGACAGGTTACATTCCCAGCAATTATGTGGCACCAGTTGACTCCATCCAAGCAGAAGAGTGGTACTTCAGAAAACTTGGCCACAAAGATGCCGAGCGACAGCTTCTGTCCTTTGGAAACCCAAGAGGTACCTTTCTTATCTGCGAGAGCGAAACCACCAAAGGTGCCTATTCACTTTCTATCCGTGATTGGGATGATATGAAAGGAGACCATGTCAAACATTATAAAATTCGCAAACTCGACAATGGTGGATACTACATCACCACCCGGGCCCAGTTTGAAACACTTCAGCAGCTTGTACAGCATTACTCAGAGAGAGCCGCAGGTCTCTGCTGCCGCCTAGTAGTCCCCTGTCACAAAGGCTTACCGATCTGTCTGTCAAAACCAAAGATGTCTGGGAAATCCCTCGAGAATCCCTGCAGTTGATCAAGAGCCTGGGAAATGGGCAGTTTGGGGAAGTATGGATGGGTACCTGGAATGGAAACACAAAAGTAGCCATAAAGACTCTTAAGCCAGGCACAATGTCCCCTGAATCATTCCTCGAGGAGGCACAGATCATGAAGAAGTTGAAGCACGACAAGTTGGTCCAGCTGTACGCGGTGGTGTCTGAAGAGCCCATCTACATTGTCACTGAGTATATGAACAAAGGAAGTTTACTTGATTTCTTAAAAGATGGTGAAGGAAGAGCTCTGAAATTACCAAATCTTGTGGATATGGCAGCACAGGTCGCTGCAGGAATGGCTTACATTGAGCGCATGAATTATATCCACAGAGATCTGCGATCAGCAAACATTCTAGTGGGCAGTGGACTGATCTGCAAGATCGCTGACTTTGGATTGGCCCAGCTAATTGAGGACAGTGAATACACAGCGAGACAAGGTGCGAAGTTCCCCATTAAGTGGATGGCCCCCTAAGCGGCGCTGTGTGGGAGGTTCACAATCAAGTCTGACGTGTGGTCTTTTGGAATCTTACTCACAGAGCTGGTCACCAAAGAAAGAGTGCCATACCCAGGTATGAACAACCGGGAGGTGCTGGAGCAGGTGGAGCGTGGCTACCGGATGCCCTGTCCACAGGACTGCCCCATCTCTCTGCACGAGCTCATGATCCACTGCTGGAAAAAGGACCCCGAAGAGCGCCCCACTTTTGAGTACTTACAGAGCTTTCTGGAAGACTACTTTACCGCCACAGAGCCCCAGTACCAGCCTGGGGAAAACCTGTGAGAGCCGGTCTGCAGAGGCCTTGTCCCAGAGGCTCCCCGCCCCTACCCATTAGCTTTCAATTCTGTAGCCAGCTGCCCAGCAGCGAGAACCGCCCAGGATCAGATTGCATGTGACTCTGAAGCTGATGAACTTCCATGGCCCTCATTAATGACATTTGTCCCCAAATCCAAACCTCTGTGAAGCATCCGAGACAGAACCTTGTTATTTCTCAGACTTTGGAAAATGCATTGTATCGATGTTATGTAAAAGGCCAAACCTCTGTTCAGTGTAAATAGTTACTCCAGTGCCAACGATCCTAGTGCTTTCCTTTTTTTAAAATGCAAATCCTATGTGATTTTAACTCTGTCTTCACCTGATTCAACTAAAAAAAGTATTATTTTCCAAAAGTAGCCTCTTTGTCTAAAACAATAAAATTTTTTTTCATGTTTTAACACAAAGAAAAAAAAAAAAGAAAAAAGAAAGGGCTGTGATGTAGTTCAGTGCAGGTATGGGGGATTTTTTGGGGGCAGGCAAGGACTAGGGATTGGATCCAGAGCCTTCACATTGAGCTATATCCCTAGTCCTTTTTTAAAATTTAGAGATAGGGTCTTGGTATGTTGCCCAGGCTATATGCAGGCTTGCCATCCTCCTGCCTCAGTCTCCCAGTGTGCTAGGATTGTAAATGCCATCTCATCTAGCCCTCGGGGTGATTTTTAATCCCCTTTTATGTTGTTGGATGGTACAGCCATAAGCAGAGGCCTCTTGAGAGGCATCTTTATTCTGATAGACTTTGTGCTACTTGCTACCACTAATTCTACACATGAACAGTTATAAAGCACATAGGATAAAGTAGATTTGATCTACTTCTCTGTTATAGTAATCCTCTTTTTAAAAGTAGGTTACTGCAGCAGGTGCCCTCGGGATGTGGGCAGGTGTGGGCCCAACTTTAGACCCCAGAGTGCGCGCCGCGGAGACATCTACATGGACCCGGGCGCGTCCTCTCTAGCTCTCTAGACGCTGCCTGGCCCGCGTCTGTGTGTACTTTTTTGTTCTTTCGTGGTACTAAGGGAAAGCAATAAAGCAAACCCAAGGATTTTCCCTGGGCGTAGGGAAGCTGCCAGGTCCCCACTTGGTACCCGGTCTGCCCAGGGAAAAGGGGCTTTGTCTTGCTTTGGGCTTTGGGGGTTGAACCCAAGGCCTTTGCACTGAGCTATATCCTCGTCCCTTCCACACACACACACTTTCACTTATTTTTTATTCTGAGATAGGTCTCCCCAAGATTTACAGGGATGGGGCACCAATGCCAGATTTGCCTTTTTTTTTTTTTTTTTTTTTTTTGTGGAACTGGGGATTGAACTCAGGTCCTTGCACTTGCCAGGGAAGCGCTTATTCCACTGAGCCATCTCCCCGGCCCCAAGAACTGAGCTAAGGGGCAGGCCCCCTAGATTTGTCTTTTCCTACGAAGAATTGCTTGGTCCAACCCAGTTTACTAACCGACCTTATACTTAACTGTAGTACCAGAATTTTTTTTTTTGTCTTTGAGACAGGGTCTATGTAATACAGGGCAGCCTTCAACTTGCTTATGTAGCCTAGGCTGGCCTCAAACTCACAAGAATACGCCTGCCTCTGTCTCCCGAGTGCTGTGATTTCAGGCATGCACCACTAGGCCTGATTCTGTAGTACCAAAATTTAAAATGGGCTTTACATGGTAAAAATGTTTGAAAAAAAATGTTTGGAAAAAAAAATTAAGAGAATATTTTGTGACATGAGAAAAGTATATGAAACTCACATTTTACTATCCATAAAATTTTATAGGAATGCCGTCATCCATGTGTTTATTGTCTGTGGTTACTTTTGCCCCTTAATGATAGAATTAAGTAGTTGCAACAGATTGTGTGGCTCACATACCTCAACAACTTACTCTCCGGTTCACTACAGAAATGGTTGCCAACCCTGATTAAATCTTGGTATTTTTCAGTGGCTCCATTCCTCACCACTCTTCACCCTAATCTTCTCCTGGCTGGCTCCTTCTTGTCACTCAATGCCAAACAGGTCGAAAGTCAACCTCTGACCACCTTGTCTAACGTTTTCCACGTTCATTCCTCAAAGAATGTATAGAAAAATATTAGTGGCCAGGTGTGGTGGTATTGGTATGTACCTGTAGTCCCAGCTATTCTGGAGCTGGAGAAACAGAGGAGAGAGAGAGAGAGAGAGAGAGAGAGAGAGAGAGAGAGAGAGAGAGAGAGAGACTTTTTCTCCCTGTGGACAGATCCCATACTAAAAAAAAAAAAAAACAAAACTGGGCTTATAGAACAATACCAAACTCAAGACATATATCGGCTGGGGAGATGGCTCAGTGGAATTAGAGCTTGCCTGGCAAGCACAAGGGCCTGAGTTCAATCCCCAGTTCTGCCAAAAAAATAAGGACATATGTCACCCTTTAGGTTGCCTTTTAAGGAAGTCACTTAAGACATATGACTAGAAAATCTTACTTTTAGTTTTCAAAGGTATGTTTGCCAAGTATAAAATTCAAAGAGGACAGATCTTTTCTTTCAGTCCTTTATCTATTTTCTTTCACACTTGGTCCTTTTTTTTTTTTTTTCTTTCTAATGTGGAATAAGATGCTATTTAATTTTGTTCTTCCATAGGTAATATTTTTATGTATATGCTTTAATGATTTTTTTCTTTACAAGAAGTTTTGGACTATTTCATTTTTGTGTATCTTGGTATGATTTTATTTAAATGTCTTT